CCCCCCCCCCCCAAATAGAAAATAATGACATTAAAAAATTCATATAAAATTATAATTAAAATTAAGATCATTTAGAACTTATTTTTTTCATAATAAATGAATACAATGAAGATAATTAATATATACCTAAATTCAACTTGAATAAAATTAAGATATAAGATGGTTTAATGTTAAGAAAACATTATTTGCAAATGATGCATCACAATAAAAGTTTTCAATCAATCATCCAATCATATGATGTAATAAGCAAAACATTAAGAAAAGCTTCAATAAATTTCAATTATTTTTCTCCGTCTTAATCCTCTTCTTCAAAGTTGAAAGAGCTGGTTCTTTATCCATTTCTGCAAAAACAACAACATATTTATATAGTAAATTTAATATTAAAAATTATATATAAAAATTAATTAATGTATAAATAAGGCAACCTGACTGTATCCTTATTTTTTCACTTGTTGTAGGTAGGCTTTTAAATACAGAAGAGTCAAGTGTAGCAATATGTGACACATTTAAAATATTCTTTTTGTATTTGCTATTAGTGGTGGATATCGACGTGGATAAGTTTAGATAATTCAACAAATTGATTATTAATGATATCATCCTCATTCAATTTAATAAGTTTCTAAATCTTGTGATAGTAATACATTCGTTTTAGAATAACATGGATATGATTTAATTTTTGAAATAAAGAAACTAATATTAAATTTAGCAAAAACCTTCTTCTTAGAATTTTTATCAAATGTATTTTCAGGTATCGACAAGTCTGGAGTATATTCAATTGATTGACTGTCATTGTCATCAATCAACATTATATTGAGTGATTTTCCATCCTTTGATAAAAATAAATTTAGGATTAAAACAATGAATACATTGCATAAAATTATGGAATATAATTTTATTAATAAGATTATCAAAATGTTACATTTTTATCAGTTAACAAGAACAAGCTGTTGAAATTTTTATCGTCCACATCATCATCAACAATTTTAATAAATGTGTAGCCTTTAATGCATTACTTGTGTTAAACTCTGTAACCTTAACACGGAAACACATATTTCTACCGATTAATCTCTTGACAGCAAGTGTAATCTCCTTATTTTTTGCATCATGTTTAAGCAAATATAAAAATAATTTTCAATTTCATCTATTAAATTGAAAACATATTAAAACTTTAATTTAATTTTGATATAGTTTACCAAACCTAGCTAAGTTGCTAATTCTTAAGGATCAATTTTCATCAAACGAAGAACATCGTGATGGAATATTACAAATGTAGTTATACGTGTTCCATCCGTCACTTTTAAGGTAAGTTTGTACCTAAAATTAAAATACATATTCGCGTTATATACACTACAAAAAATTATGTTTTTAACGAAGGGATTTCCCTTTGTTAAAGAGCTGAAAACCTTCGTTATTGTATGCTAACGACAGGAAAAAATTTCTTTGTCACCCGTCGTTAAACCCTTCTTCGCTAAAGAGTCACGAAGGTTATAATACCCGTCGTTAAAGAGTCTATAACGACGGAACATATTACCGTCATTTATATCTGTGACGGTAATTATCACCATTGTTACTATCAGTAACGGGGATTTTTTTTCGTCGTTCATATCTGCGACGGTAATTATCACCGTCTTTACCATCAATGACGGAAATTTTTTCCGTCGTTACTGTAAAATGACGATTTGTCCTTCCCGTCGTCGTTATGTAACAACGGGTGAGATCCCCATCGTTAAAGACCTATTAATGACGGTTGGACACCATCGTAGAAGTCCTTATGGTGGGTAATTAGTAACCCATCAACGATGGTACTTTCCTTTCATTGATGTACTAAATAAGGTTTATAAAACCGTCATTATAGACTATAAATTTCTAATATACATTAATGATAATTTTTTCATTCATAGGCAACTATCATAAAAAAACCTTCATATTATTCTCAACATGACACTGAGATTCACAACACAAATATATTAAAAATATCCAATAATTAATAAAAGGGAAAACAAAAACTCCATTCATTAATAACATCAATAAATAAAATTTCACAGTATTCAAATATTTAATACTAATAACAAGAGTTAATATCCCAATTGTTCTAAAGGAAAATATGTGAAACTATCAAAAGCAAATTAAAGTAGAAGTTACAGAAAGACACGTCTTTTCATTTCTAATCAATGTCAAAAAGAAGACTCGAGCTACCCCCACTCCTAGTCTTGCATGGATAGCCTGAAAAATCAAAAAGTTTACATAATTAAGAAATATCAATTAAGCAAATATTATCTTATTAAGTAAAAATCGTATTTTCTCTAATGCAAGTAGTCAATCATAAAAGTATATAAGAGAATTTATAAAAAATAATTACCTAGTCCTGCACATGTTCTCGAGTTTGAGGAGTCAATGAAGTATTAGGTTGTTGCATAAAAAAAAGTTCCTGCATAGCTTTAACTTGTAACTCTAAGTCAGACATCCTTTGTTATTGATGATGTTGTTGTTGCTCCTACTCATCTAAGCGTTGTTGAAGCATCTGGTTCTTTCTCTTTTCTTCTATAACTCGTGCGCGTTGTTGAAGCATCTGGTTCTTTCTCTTTTCTTCTATAACTCGTGCTTCCAGATCAGATCGACTAGGGAGCGGTCCTCTCAAATCTTTCTTCTATAACTCGTGCTTCCAGATCAGATCGACTAGGGAGCGGTCCTCTCAAATCTTTCAAAGTAGTTCCGTCACCAAATATAATGTTGTGGTCATTAGATTGCTTCCCCCAAATTTTCTCAATTATCTCAATGTCTGAAAGTGAAGGGTTTGCTTGTTTGACTTGAACGATTTCATCCTATAAAAATTGAATTCATATGTTAGTTCATATGTTAGCATTATATAATGCATCATTATCAAATTTAAATATATATTCTACTTACATATTTATCTTTATCCCCAGTATCTAGTGTTTCATTAGCTTTCTTTCGGGTTTCATAGAACATTTTTGCCACATCAGGTGGATTTCCTGACTTATCACCCTTATTCAAATATTAAATAAAAATGAGTACAACATTGCACTAAAAAGGAATGTATTTTTAAATAAATAGGAAATTAGTTTTTAATGTATACCAGTTCTCACGCAATTTGTCTAAAGGGTTTACTACCCGTGTGGTGGAGCATCTTTTTTTTTTGCCTTTGTTAAGTGTATTTTGTTGGCTTGCTTTCTATACATCAAGATTAAAAGAGAATTTAATAATATAGCAATATACATGGAACAAAATAAAAAATATTAGGAGATTAATACCTAAAACTTTGAGCAAAAATAATGTTCTTTAACTAGCCAATCCCAGTCATCAACACTCACTTCTGCAGGTTTATTTCTAAGTGCAACTTGCAATGAATTTTTTTTACATACTTCCTGTGCATGTCACCACGTCACTTATTCCACAGATCACGCAAGTGTCTCATTACTGAATCTCGTTTTTGCTCCATGTCCTCAGCATTAAAGTTATCCTATATCAAATTTGAATCAAAATTTAATTTATAAGAATTAAAGACCAATTAAAAATAATAATTTTTAAAGTATCATAATGGATTCCCAAATATGATCTTTATTTTGTTGTGGTATTTTGGCCCAATTCTCAACACTACTGGGCAAATATTTCTATCACGAATAATAATGCCAAGATATCGTGAAAATTCTGGTTCAATAGCTCTATTCTGATAAAAAGTAATGATCTTTTCCCCCCTGTGGTAAATTATTCAACTTTAGACACTTATTACTACCATGTAGTGGATTTTTCTTCTTTTGAAGATTAGCAGCTGCATACATCATATCATGTGTTAGAATCAATATATAATTAAAAATAAATTGGTAAAGATATACATTCTTATGATTAATGAAAAATATACCTTCTTGTCGAGATTCATTTAATATTACATCATCACTTTGCACGTGATGGTTATTTGATTCTGTAAATATTGAGCAATTATTAGTCCAAGCATAAAAAATAAATTGAAAGGTAAAAAGAAATAATAATAAAATTTAAAGTCCCATATACCTGCAGAATCATCATTCTCCTTATTGTTAGTATTTGCACTTCTCCTACAATTTTGTGCAAAATTCTCCTCTTCAAAGTTTTCTGAATCAGCACTAAAAGTTACAGTCATATTTTGATATTGTATTGGGTTTTGAATATTCAAAGTATTGTTAAGACCAGTACGAAGTTAAGCTTGTTGCATTCTTAATGAATTTTCTGCAAGTGCTTGAAGTCGCTTCGTAACTAATGCACTAGGTGCTAGAAATTGTATCCTTTTATTTTTGGAAATGACTTCTTGAGTTTTCATTTTCCTACTATGAAAAGAAATTTAAGTATTATACACTATATATGAAATAAATGTTAAAAGAGACATGAACAAAAAGAAAAAGAAATCACAAAGGACAAACATAATAATAAATACATAGTGCACTAATGTAGATGCACTTGCTGTAATGTCAAAGCCACATTTGAAATAGGAAGAAAAGAAACATTATGTGTGCTAAGCAAGGAATAGTTATAGTAAGATACTGTTAGACCCTAGAGGGGGGGGGGGGGGATTAGGGTCTTATGCTAATCTAATCCGATTATATGCCAATTAAAATTAATTAATAAGTTATCCTAACAAGTATGAAATATAACAAAATATATAAGCTAGGATAAACAATGTAAACAAGGGATATATCCTATATGATGAAATATATATATGCAAGGATATGAAACTAACACAAGGGGTAAACAATGTGAATTAGATAGTGGATCATATAAATAATGAACTAATGACAATGGCGATAAGAAATATAAACACAAGA